GATCATGACAGGGAGCACACGACAAGTCCAACCCCTCGGATAATGCAGATGATACACACTCCTCCATGGCACCTGACCTGATCCCATCTCTGATGTTTAGGAGGTCCGCGCTTGCGCTGCTTGTAATTTTTATTGTTTGGATAAAACTTTTGAGCTAAATTTTTGTTCGTTATCTCATTATATTTTTTTTACACTTAATGCACTATTTTCAGATTGTTTTGCCTTCAAAAATTTTACATTAATTAGTTTTCATTATTTTCGTCCTTTTATCATCATACAGATTTTACGCTTGTGTCAATTATGGGTGTTAAATTTGTATAAAACTAGAAATATTTTCACTTAAAAGATGAATAGTGTATATACAAAAATAAAACTTTCTTGTGCTACCCACAAATTTGCCAACTGGACTATAATTGTACTCAAATTTTTCTTGCAAAATAATTGTGAATTTTATTCGTCATCTGACTAGCTACTCAAGATGTTTTAAAGATAAGCTTTTGTCCTTTATTCAGAGTTAATTTAAACCAGTTGAAAATATATCAAGCTGACACTGCATTTTAATATAACCTGCTTACTGCTCTCAGTAAAACAATTGTCAGGATCTTTTTATCTTCATATACTGATATTATCACGATTTTGATGAACTAATTTGTTGTGTTTAAAAATCCATGCATTGCTCATCAACCTAACTTCAATTTTATCAACAATATGAGATATATTTTTATTCTCTTTCTCTCTCTTCCAAATTCTTGAAAAAAAATCTTTAAAATTTAATTTGCATCTTGTAAGACTTTTATCCAGACAAAAAAAATTTTCTTGAGATTTTAAATTTTTCTTGAGAGTTTCTATAAATATTTCATATTTTGTACACGTTCACTGTAATCTGTTATGCCATTCAATATATCTGCAACTTGAAATTATAAACTATTTTAAAAAGAATAATTTTATGTTAAGATGTTCTGGTCTTCAATAAAGCCTTGCTTTACAGTATTTTCAATTTTTTGAAGCAGCTTCTAAAGGATTATTCAAGGAATCACCAAGTGTTAAAAACGTGGAAAAATTTGCATAACCGGCTATTATAAGCCATAATCAATAAATCTGATGAACATGTAACAAGTACGTTGATTCGATCGACCATGTGGATACTTAAAAATTCCAAGGAACTTTTGGACAATTTCAAATCACAAAAATTTAACAAAATCAACAGCTTAAAAACTTACGATTTTTCAGCTTTATACAAAACAATTCCCAACGATAAATGAAAGTCCAGGTTTTCGATATCATTGACAGCTGCTTTTTCAACAAAAATAAAAGTAGGAAATTTACGTACCTTGTCATTGGTCATTTGCAAAATTATTTTGTTAAAAAGCATTCTGATTGTACACACAAGTACATTGTACTCTGAAGTCGACATCAAAAAGTGCTTGAGTTTCTGATTGACAATATCTGTGTACATGCAGCTTTCGGAGATGTCTTCCAATCAGTCGGAATTCCCATGGGTACCATTTGAGCCCCGTTATAAGCAGACATATTTTTGTATTCATATAAAGCAGAATCTGTGCAAAATTTTAAGCGTGAAAAGAAGAAAACACTTGCTGTGGCCTTCAACTCGACATTTAGATATATCGACGACGTACTCTCGATTAACAATTATAATTTCCATTCTTATGTCGATACGATATATCCTAGTGAGTTTGAGATAGAAAATACCACAGATTCTAACACATCTCTTTCATATTTAAATATTTTACTTGAAAAAGACGATAATGGTAATCTAACAACCAAGCTCTATGATAAAAGTGATGACTATAACTTTTCTATCGCCAACTTCCCTTACTTATCCAGCGACATAACTTCATCACCCGTGTACAGACTTTCCATATCTCCGTTGATTAGATACGCAAGAGCATGCTTTAAGTATGAACAATTTCTACAACGAGGTAAATTATTGAAAAACAAATTGATGAAACAAGAATTTCAGCAGTCTCGCTCATAGTCATCATTTCGTACGTTCTATGGTCGATACTATGACCTTGTCAGCAAATACTTTATCATGAGTCAAATGCTGACTGACGTTTTTCAATCTAATTTTTAGTCCGTTATTTATAGACTGAATTGACGACGGATTTTTCTGTTATTTCCCGATCATGACGAGGAGCACACGGCGGATGTGACCTGTCGACAGTAGATAGATGTTTGCTCCGCTCCTGTTTTGTATTGTTTTATGGACTTTTGATCTGGAATACAGTTCGTTTTCTCCATATGTTTCACCATAATTTTTTTTAAACTTACTTAATCAAGCTTTTTTGATGCTTTCTTTTTTCATTTATTAAAAAAAGTTATGTATTAAATTTGAGTATTTGTTTCATTTTTCATACTCATATCAAATTTATCGAAATATAAACTAATAAGAAACCCATTTACGGACTGAAACAGGACTTAAGGTGGGATAATTTAGCATATTGCTTACTTTTTAAAATGGTTTATTGATACAATTTAGAGGAACATTTTTTTAAAGAACAGTTAGAAGTCAATTACATGGCAAATACGGTTATATCAGTTTATATGCCATTGACTAATGTTAATGAACAGAAAACTCAAGTTGCGAGGTCGTAAAGAGGCGCATAAAATTGTTGTCCATAGTCAAGAGAGAAATTACCATGAATTTAGCATTGCAGGAAAGGCGGTTCATTGCAAGAGTTGCCAAAAGACGATTACCTTTCAGGATTGTTTTGAAATAATGATTAGTAATAAAATTAAAGAATCATACGTATTAAAAATGCATTTTGTTGTCTGTTTGCATGTGATTGTAAAAAGTGGCATTAATTTGCGTCAAAAACAGGCCACTTTAAAAATGTGCAAAGTTGTGTATTTTTCCTGTAATACAATAAGGGAATTCTAATTTTGTATATCCTGATCAAATTTTTAACTTTTATGCACATTTACAGAAATTTATCAAGTCCAAAAAACAAAGCAGTTTACTGTTTCTAAAGGCATGAAATGTAATTAAATTCAGTTTACTAAAATCCTGAATATTCAAAATTGATAGATCTTGTAACACATTAATTATTTAATTTGTGAAGAGGGAAAAAACGGACCCCGGGGAATTCCAGAGATGGGGTCGCGTGCCTTGAATCTGGAGGAGTAGGCACCCCCTTCTGTCCAGTCATCAAAAAGTCCCCAAGTTCTATTTTAAATCATTGGTAAAAAACTTCGGGCCCCTTTTCTAGCATATTTTGACCCATAATATCTGTGCTCTTTCATCTTTTCAAATTTTTAAAGAGTGTATTTGAGGTAAATAAAGCTATAGTTGCAAAGAAATTTTGTTGAATTCATCTGCCCACTACTTATTTTTCGAATTAGGTTATTTGAATGAGAGAACAGTCATTCCTTTTGTGTCTATTTATTAGGTAAAGACTGTCGTATTCCAATCACAGGTAAATTCAGTTCAATGTCCTTCACTTTACTTTTCACTAGCTATTTAAATTCCTCGTTAAATTGTAACTTGAACCTATTTGAGTGCGATAAGAACTTCTTATTCATGGAGCATTCCCTAGCAAAATGTATATTCCGCTTCGTAAAGCGCTTACTCTTTAACAAGAAAACGCAGACACACAAGATTCCTTCTACATTCATGTGAATAATAATGGCACCTGATCCGACCTCTGATGTTTCGGAGGTCTGTATTCGGAGGTCTACTTTGCTCCTATTTTGTATTGTTCATAGGACTTTTGAGCTTTTATTAATTAAATTGCGTTTAATACCAATGTTAAGTTTTGAAAAAAAAGTTGATTTAAACCTAAAAACAATTTACAAGTTTTTTAACATTGTAGGTGACTCAAGAAGCATTAATTGCTATCAACCTAATATTTTTGAAGCAAACGAAAGAAAGAAAAAAAATTCATACTGCATAATTTTAAAAGAGAAGAGGGTTTTGAAATAAATTTGAAATATAAATGGATAATAGACACACACGAATCCCTGATGTCGAGCAGGAAGCAGGAAACGTGATTTTGAGACCTGTAATACAACCTCTGTCAAAAAATAAGATAAAGCCAGGAATCCTGTGTTAATCTAACATCCTGATATCAGATCCATATTGTGGCTAGAACATATTGTGAAATGCAACAGAAATAATCTAAATTTATTGAAATGTTGTATTAAAATGATGTCTCTCTATATGAATGAACAATTCTCGAATGGGACGTTAAACAATACACAATCAATGAAATGTTGTAAAGTTTCTTTATCTTTTGCATGACATAATTCCAAGATAAAGGTTTGTTTGAATGGTGTTAAATTTCATAAAAGTGCCTTGTATCTTTTTGATACATTTTTATATAGTGTTATATGAGCAATGATAATAGCAAACATTGAAATTCAAGACTGTTGACACAGCCAAGGGAACGTTAAGTCTATCAATGTATGTCATTATTTGTTTAAGATCCGTATTAAAAATCCATGTCTTTTACAGAAACTTCTATAACTTTCCAAGAAGTGATTAAAATAAACAGAAGATTGTTAAAGTTAAAAAAAAGTTCCGATCGATGCGTGGGTGTAAGTGGACATCTCTCTCGGGGTATTTAATCTAATTGGCTATGCGGATGTAAATACCGAACAGTATTTATTCACAAATTACTCATCTATTGACACACTGATTTCAAATATTGAATTCAGCAAAAATTAAAACCAAGGACATCGCAAGGCCTAGCATGTCCTCACAAAATCAAAGCAGCAAACGCCATCATTCCCGACGCAAATAACGTCACCACCGTTTCGCATAGAAATACAACCACATACACAAACTCACTTACACGTAAGCGCGTATCTATATCTCCTTCAACCTCGTTACAAGCAGAGAATTGTTTCTTCTTCTGTCACTGATGATTATATTCTAAAGAAAACATTCATGAGTTATTATAATAGAACTTTTATTTTTATTGGCAATAAACAATAATAATTTAAATAATCAAGATATAATAACAATATAATGTATGCTTTAATAAATACGATTATATGAAGTGATGTAATGAACACTGTTCTGAATAACATTCCGAGTATATAAAATAATTCAACAGAGCAAAAACAATGTAATACTGATATGGATTCGCAAGTCGAAGACATAGCTGCCATTTGAGGAAAAGTTCATAACTGTCAAAAAATTCAAACACAGTTGCACCAGAGTTTTCTTCTCTTTCAGTTTTTATTATCTTCTTTTAATAATCGTTTTGATTCTTTTAGTCCTGTAACTTTTTTATGAATCTTTTTGGTTCTTTTATTTTTCTTTTTATTTCTTTTCCCTTTCTTTTTACTATATCGAAAAATCTTATTTCGGCATTTTCGTTTTAAACCAAACCTACCCTTCCTTTCATAAACACAGGAATTCCAAAAGTCTAAGGTACCCTGCAGAATATTTTCCGCTGCTTTGATTTTTGATAAATCTTCGAATTCGTCTCTTTTGAAACAATTTCGTTTTGTCTTCCTAAATCTCTTTTTCTTGCCACAGACTCTTGTCCTTTGAAATGTTTTAATTGGCTTGTTCTTTTTGTTTCTTCCCTTACATTGAAGCTTTCTGTTGGCTTGATGCAGGGTACACATGGCAGTTTGTAAAGACCGATTGTCACTTCCATCATTTCCAAGTACTTTTGAGACGTGGTTTAAAACATCATGAACGAAGGTTAAATTAGCATACGTCTCGTGAATAAATCTAATCTGAGAAAGAAAAACAAAGCATTAAAATTATATTAATTTGTCAGAAGAAGAGAAGACGTTAAAAACATTCTTTTTTTGAAATATTGCATTTGCTTTTTCTTCTATAAGGAATGTTTTGTTACTGATTTTGTTCCAAAATTTGATAAATTACCTTTTTGTTGACTTTTCTGACTTTTTTGCCAATCCTATGTAAAGGGCTTATAATCTGTACCTCACAACGGTTCATACCCTTAATGTTCACTGGATTCAGAGTTTCTTCCTGCAAAAACAAATTTAGGAGGCCTAAAGGTCAACAAATTAACCATCAGATTTCACTAAATGTCTTTAGATCATGATATTATAAGCTGTTATTTGGCAAAGAAAAATCATACATTCTAGTTTTTGAAAATCGATCATTTTTGTATATCTTTTTAAGGAACTCTTCTTCTAAAAAAATATCAATAAAGGTAAACAACCAACCTGCTCCCTTAATTCATTTTGAAATCTTACCAAAATGAAAAAAAATTGATTTATTTTAGTGTTTTGCATTACCTTCTTTGCATTTTCACAATAATTATTGATAATTCACTTTGTATAGTTATTGATTACCCTTTTTGTTACACGACATCATTCATTAATTATTAAGTATTTATGTAGTACAATTATATATATGTAGTACAGTGCCTATAATTTATATTCATCCGAACTAATTCGCTACTCAAGAGCTTGCCCTGAGTACGGAAATGTTTCGAAACGAGGCAGACTTCTAACTGATATCTTGATGTCACAGGAACATAAATTTATGGTCGTTATCATGACCCTGGTAGCAAAAATAAGCTATAATTTCGGACAAATTGTATCATAGAAATTGTAAAGTATTTATGTTTATACTAAAATAGTTCCGTTTAGCTGATCAATACGAACTCAAGAAGGGGGTGGTGGTTAAACAGGGGTTGTTTACTCTTCCTAGGCACTTGATCCAAATTAGGTATTTCAGAGGCCCTATTCACATATCTGTATTGTTTACGATTTTCTTATGAACGTTCGCTCACTGTCCGTTATACAGTACCCTATTAAATATGAAGGTAATGAAGATCATTCTAGCTTAAGGAAGCTCTAAACACTGCATATCAAAGAGTTCTAATTGTAAGTTAATTTTATGCTGTTAGAGTGATCTGCCTTTAGAAGTGAGATGTAAAAATGGTTATTTACAGTTAACTACACAATTTGTAATAGACTAATATATGTTAAGCATTATATTTGACCAAGAATAAGTAATCAAATTCATTATTTCCACTAAGTTTTCCTATGTTTCTGTTCAAAAAATGTCTTTCAACATTTTTCCTGCAGAATTAATGCAGGTACCCATCTTGAAAATGGTTAAAATAGTCTCAATATGCACGCCTTTTGATGCAATATGCTCCAGGGCAAAAATGCACTTTTTGTTAGTGTTTAGAGCTTCCAAAAACGTCAACTGGTGAGGAGAGCAAACACATTTCTCTCAACTGTTCTGTGCTTGAATTACATTGAAGCAAATTTATTGAAAATAAACCTTTACTTACCATATTTAATGATATATTCTTCAATCTCCGAATCACGTTATTCATGTTAGTTATCATGCTGGATAAAGTAACTTTGTGATTACAGTCAGTTTGCGATGTTGGTGTTGTTGAATACGAACTGTCTATTCCACACGGGTTACACGTGTCCCAGCCCAGCGTTAAAGGAATACAGCAGGCAAATACACCAAGGTAGCATATTGCTAAAAATAGAATATTTAAAAGTCAACCAAAGCAGTTTTAGGTATTTATCATAACGAAAGTACCTCATATGAATTTAAAGAATTCAACATCGTCTGTAAAACTGATAAAAGTTTAGAAAATTAATATGATGCATCTGACAGGATAAATTGTGCAAAATGTATTTTTGGAATAAAAAAATAATCAAAAAGATATATACATGCTTTTCTTTTACCGTTTGCCATGGTATAACTTATTATTAAATTGATTTGATAGGGTACATATATTTATAGTCGGAAAATTTTGGAAAACCACTCTCTATTCGTTGGACATCGCCTACCAATATCCGTGTGCGAAATGGATGAATCACATTTTCCAAACTTTATCCAGATACAAGAAAGTCCCTTGCAATTCAAAGTAGACAAAAAGAATTTGATTATTGCTTAAATTGAAATTTCAACTTGAAGGTCATTCTTGAACTGTGATCAATCACACATCCACTATTATATTCTTTTGCATTTGTTTGAAAAAAATGTTTTGACTTTATTTCATTTATTGTTTTTCAGGTAAAACCATAAAGATGTCTATAAATGGCGCATGGGATATGTATAATCTCGTATTACAATAGAATATTTCAATGTAACTTCATTGCTTTTTAACTTAAAAATATTCTTTCGCCAATTGAAGCATCAAATTTATATAATTAATATTGAAAATGTAATTCTTTCTTAAGGTGTGAATTTAGAATATTTGCTATGGAAAAATAGTGAACGGAAAAGAATATATTTTTGGTTACTTTGGTTGTCAAAAAATGCAAATAACAATATATATAAAGAAACTAATTGACTTTCAATGGTTTTCTTTTTTGTGTGTGTGTCGTCATCGCAGTTTTAAACCTTTACACTTTTTCCACACATGAAATATATGGGTTTGACAAACAGTATTCAAATTACAAAGTCCATATTAAACAATACAATACAGAATCGTAGCAGAGCACACACGGATGTCCTAAGCATCAGAGGTTGGGTCAGGTGCCATGAAGGAGTAAGAATCCCCTGCAGACCGGTTACATCCGTCGTGTGCTAATTATTATGATAACAATGATATTGCTCAATAACTAAGGGAAGTTGACGATTGAAAAGTAAAAGTCATCATGTTTGTCATAAAGCCTGGTTGTTAGATGACCATTGCCTTTCTTCTTATAAATATTCAAATGTGAAAGAGATATGCTAGACAAACATAGGTCAGCTTATATCGTTTGAATATAGTTTGAATCGAAATGAACTTTTATTATTGTTTATGAGACTAAAATATTTGTTTTTGTTATGTTACATCAGTCAAGGTGTAAAAATTTTTGTAAAACACTTCGTTGCATGCAATATGAAGACAAAGAACAGACATAAAACTCAAAAGATTCGTTAAAACAGTACAAAAAGAAAGCAGAGGAAACTCGAACTAAAATAGGGGAAAAATCCATAAAATTAGGTTGCATAAAGGAGCAATTTTCCCTTGCTGATCGGCTTCACATACTGTGTGCTCATTGTCATGATTTCACATTGAAAATACAGTACACACTTCAGTGGTAAAATATTGACCTAGCAAAGTGTATGGAAACCATTAGAAAAAAATCGACATAGTGAAAAATTGCATATGATGACAAGGTCATTGTACTCAGAATTTGCGAAATGTTGCCTTTAAACGAGACTAATATTTACTGACATTTGTAATTTTTGTGACTGTATTAAAGTGAGAACACTGCCTTTATGAGTTAAAAAATGTTTTTACGTAAAATAGAAAAAATAAATCCTTTATCTTAAGATATGTATTGGCCAATCTGAATTTTAACTTTTTTTCAGTTATTCATTTCTAAGAAACTTCTTGAAAGAAAGATTTCCCCTAAAATCAATATTTTGATTGGTTGTTTATATCATACAAAGAATGATACAATGATAGAATCTAAGAAATTTTGCTAGATAAGGTTCATAACAACACAGGTATGCCTCTGCATAGAAAATAAGTGGTGAAGGAGTGATGGGGTGGTTTAAAAGTAGTTGTAAATATACACATTATTATCCGATATAGTAAACTTGTAATAAACAACCTAGTTCACCTTAGATTTTGAACAATCGAATTCCGGTATATTCCCCAGGCATTCTCTAATCAATCACCCCTTAAAGTAGGAAATACCTTTGTATCATTCGATTTATGAATGAAAACAAAGGAAAAATAGCCTAAGGAATGAAAGTCCGTCTCACTTTGCTCTTCTCCTATTTTGTATTGTTTATAGGACTTTTGAGATTGAATATTGTTAATATATTGAATAATATCTCCATAAATTTCTTATTAGATTTCTGTATCCTCATAAAGTGTATTATTAAACATACAAACATAGACACTAGCTTTGAATCTCCATGCATCTTGCATTAAATTAAGAGGGTTCGGGCAAAACGTATCTGGATGCTCTTCCAAGAGACTTATTTACAGCTGTAATATTGATACACCTAATACTTTTCGGGTTTTTTGTCTCTTTTTAAATTGTTTGCCAAAATTTGCTTGTGGCTATTTAGTCCTTTAGCCGGGTAGTTTGCAGCGCATGTGCAGGCACGACCGCGAGTTTTCCAGAATGTTCATTTATATAAGGAATAACTGTAATTTTTTTTGGCTTCATGCGTGATCAATCGAGTAGCTTGCATAAAAATTTGCATAAATGCCGGAGTTTATGCATAAAATTATCACACTAGTCAATTGATTGATCATCGTCATGAAACTAAAACAAATATGACAGTTATTCCTTATATTTTCCTTCTCTTCAGCAAAGCCATTTGCTACAAGTCCGGCTTCTGTCTCTATTTGTCCCATCCCGCAGGTGATTCTTTAACCACGCCTATCAATCAACTAATGGATTTATATAGAAATAAAAAGAGGATTTTCAATGTTTTGTAGTTGAATATGGAATTTATTTCACGAGTGGGACAGGATATTTTGATATTTTCACGAGTGTGAAGGCAAAAAAGAAAATATCAAATAATTCTGTCTCACGAATTATTCATTAATTATTTATACACTGAATTGACAACGGATTTTTCCGTTATTTCCCGATTAATCAAGGAGCACAGTGCAGGTGTGACCTGTCAGCAGGGTATATTCACTCCTCCATCGCACCTTATCCCAGCTCTGATGTTTTGGAGGTCTGTGTTTGCTCTGCTGCTATTTTGTATTGTTTCATGGCCTTTTGATCTGGAATAGTGTGTTCATTATCTCCATATGTTTCATTTCACATTGAACTTCAAAATATTGAATTTTTAGTTTATTACATTTTCTTTGATTTTCCCTTTTCCTCAGTCTTTTTCTAATGCAGTCATAGACTACATCATGTTATAGTGAGCGGTTTAGATGTCATAGCTAAGTTCATAGCTTTTGAACCACTATTTTCAAACGTAAAATTCTATATAAAAACCCATCGAGGTATTAAATTTTAGAAATTCAAATAATAAAATTACTTATATTAGTGTTAATCATGTAATTGCTCGGTACCGGCTCTTGGGGGCACCATTTTACTAACCCATTCATAAACTCAAAGAGAGGTTCGTTCCCACACATGCCATGGATATTTAAAATGTTTTCTACTATAAAATGATCTTGTTTATTAGGTTAGGTAAAAATCATTGAATGAAAATTTCATAGTAAATAAGGCCCTGTCTATTTAACAGTCTATTCAATAAATAGGCCCTGTTACGACTACTCCCAATTGCTTTTTAAATTTTTAAATTTCTGCATTATAAAATCCAAGAATATTCATTGATAAAATTTAAATATTCAGGCTGATGGTAAAATTTTTTTCTTTCTTTCATTTTTTTCTGAATATGCACTGGTAAAAAGACAAGAATTCCTCGGCTTTATGCTTCATTATTTATACGTATGTATATACAATCTTCACATTGAAGTATAGTCCGACTTTTTGCTTTAATATGGTAAATAAAATGATGGAAGTATCTAATATCTATCTCAAGTTTATATAAAAAAGATATTTTGATATACAGATTGGCATTTATTTTTGTTAAATAGAAATGACATAAGAGATCCTTAAAAAACTGGTAAGAAATCTTTTTCGTTGGCGCTAAGATACGAGACTTTGTGTCGCTATCTATATAATTCTATGCATGTTTTTTAAACAATTTTATCATTGTAACAAATAAAAAAATCTCCCATTTTATATGGAAAACATTTTTCAGATCACTGAATTGAATGTAAACCAATAAGAAATATTGCTGATTTCAAAAAAAAAAAAATGTGTTATCTATCCTTAAGAGAAATTTAGAGATTTAAGTTCAAATAAAGGGAACCTGACATATCCTTTTAATACTTTTGAGAACACATGCATCATATTACATGTACAACCACATGTATTAACTGAAGGGAAGAAATAAACTCCGATCAGGCATCACCGAATAAAGCTTCAGATAAATTTAGCTTTGGAATAACATTTAAACGAGGAAAGTTGAAAAAAAAATGTAAATTATTTAATTAGGCTAACATTTCCAAAGGAATGACAAATTAACATTGAATGTTTATATTGAATTTTTTCCATATTGGGACAAAGTATTCTAAACTTATTGATTGTAGGATAAGATATTTTAAACATCTTGAGTAACATAGTGATACATTTATAAGAAAGTAAAAAAAATCTAATCTAATCATAGTAGAACTAAATGATATTTTACGGCTCAATTATAATTCAAGACACATATTTACCTTGGCTTTTTTCTTTGAATCAGTAGATTTAGACTTTGAAGAAACATAAAATATTATCTTTCAGATTTTGTTCACTGAAAAAATGTTATGACATTAGTTCATAAAGTATTAAAATAAGCTCTGATAGGGTCTATAGGTATACCCAAGTAATGTTACAAACCTAAATGTACTAGTAACTATTCATTGACAATTTAATAATATATCATCAAAACAAAACAACTGAGGGTTATTAGATATACAGACATTTAAATATATCTTGATATTCAAGATTTATTAATTTTAAGATTAAAACCCCCCAAGATAATCCAAAAATATTTGAAGGACTCATACAAAACTCATCTAATGACAATACAGGAAAGGAAATAAATTCTGTGAAAGAAATAAAAAAAATCCTATTCACAAAACATGTTCAAGAAATGAACGAGTATAATTCACAAACAAACAAAATAAAACCAAAAAGAATCAAAAGAAAAACAATGATCAGTTTTAAAGATTCGTTCAAAGTAATTAGACAAGTAAAGTACTTTGGTTTTAGATATAATATGTACATGTATTGCAATAATGTTTTGAAGCATACTGGCAATGTGTGGATGTTTGTTTCATGTAGCTGCCTTTTGGGAGAAAAGAACGTACCTAAACGATAATATCACATGCAAAATTCAAAGATACCTTTGAACTACTTTTCTTCTGTTTTTATTTCCTAATGTCTTTATTGCCTTTTCACAATTTCCCACCTGACATTTCTTTTTTCGACACTGCCGGTGAAGAAAAAGTTTGCCATTTCTTTCAAAGATACAGATTTTCCAAAAGTTTAGGGTGCTCTGCATAATCTTCAAAGTTGCTTTGACTTTTGATAAATCTTCCATTTCAACAGAACATCCTCTTCTGGATTTTCTAAATCTCTTATTTTTAAAACAGACTTGGGTGTCTTTGAGTGATATCATTTTCTTGTTTCTTCGTATTTTCTTGCATTGAAGATTCCTGTTGGCCTGATACAAAAGACACATGGATGATTGCAAATGCAATTCAACAAGTCTATCAGTCCCAAAAGTCTTTGATCCGCTCTCCAAAACATCATATACAAAGGCGAAACGTGCATACGTATGATGAATAAAGCGAATCTGTAAGTAATAAAACAAAACAAATTTCTTCAATTACATGCATAATTATTAAGAAGATAAGAAAATTTAATCTAGATAACTAAAACTCATTTTGCCTTCGTTCTCAATTGATATACACACTTTATTAAAAAAATATGTCATAAAACTTTACTATAAATATATCATATTTTATTAACCTTTCTACTGGCTTTATTTCGGGAACCACGCAAAGGGTTAACTACACGTGCATTACAGTAAGAAGTACCCTGCACATTCACTAGATTCAGCTTTTCTTCCTATAAAAATCAAAAGAAATACATTTTGAGAAATTGGACTTAAACAAAAAAGGGAGATGGGGAAAAGACAATGAAAACAACAATCCATCATAAATGCAAAACATAGCCATCTATATAATTATTGTGAAAAGAAAATAAGATATTCTTTTAGAGTATGCGAATACAAAGTTTGCTTACAGTGTTCAAGATTAATTTCTTCAATGCCTTAATTAGGTTTTCCATATTTTCGTGCATATAAGACAAAGAAACTCGGTGGTCACATGCAGATAGTGAACGTATAATATTAGTGTCCATACGGTCTCTATCACATGGTGTGCAACTGTCTCTTCCAACCGCGAAACAAAATCCCACAGTCAGCAAGCAGAGGAATAATTATGCTATAAATAAATTTTGGAACTTAGACAAATCAAATATAACGATTTCAATCAAACCGAAACTAAATATGTTCTGTTTTAAGAATATTAATTGATTTGCAGTATTGTCTTGAAAGTTTCTGTAGAATTTAACTGCGATGTAAGAATGCATTGCATTTAAAATTCTGATAGATATTTGTTTGGTTTACCGTTTTTCATAATTTCTTACTTGATAGTTTGACTTAGATCATGGTTTATATACTTTCAAGTATAGTCGGATAATTCAGCTCCACCTTCGGACTTCGCCTACTACTATCCGGGAATGATTAATTATCCCCAAGCTCAGTCCAGATCCTAACAGAAAAGTCCCTTGGATTTCAAACTCATCATGCATTACTTATGGGTACCGAGTATTTCTACATCGTGCATACTATCAAATAATTCTGATTCATAGCCATAACAAACTGAAAGCATATATTGATTGTATTATTTACAAACAATAACGTGAAAAAAATGTTGTTTGCTCAAGTATGCTTACAGTTTGCTAACAGAAAAATTCCCTTCGAATCCAAACTCATCATGCATTACTTATGGGTACTGAGTATTTCTACATCGTGCATACTATCAAATAACTCTGATTCATAGACATAACAAACTGAAAACATATATATTGATTGTATTATTTACAAACAATAACGTGAAAAAAATGTTGTTTGCTCAAGTATCTTTAATTTCTATGACAGATATGTACAATTTTTTTGATTTTCATTCATAACTTTTGCTGTCTAGAAACGTATAGAAAACTTAATTTGTATCATAGTTATGTATAAATATAGTTAAAAGAATTTTGTTTCAGCATGCTGTAGTTAAAAAATAATGTGTGTGAAATACGTTATTTTAAAGACATTTCAAATCAGCCGTTGAAACCATATCAAATCCTTGTAGTTTCACAATTACTCTGAATCTTAGTTAAAAAATATCGTAGTGTCATTTGAAAAAAAAATGCTAAAAGAACACTTTGATTAAAATGACTGACAATATCTATTCAATTTCTTTTTTTACATCAGGTCCTCCAATTTTCTGACGGAAATCACAAGGGTACACGTTGTGCCCCGAAGTAGAAGGCCTATTTTTGTATCCATATGGAGATAATTTCAACACAAGCGCATGCTCTACGTAAGTACAATATCTAAAACGAGGTAGATTATTGACAAACAAGTCGATGAAACAAGAATATGGTCAGTCTTCTTTAAAGTCTTCATTTCATAAGATCTAGTCGCCCGCTTGGCGCAGTGGTTAGAGCGTCTGCTCTAGAGTCGCGTTGTAAGGAGTTGATCCTTACGTCACAGGTTCGAATCCCTTTGTGGGACGTTGAAACCGGTCCTTCGGATGAGACTGTATAAAGCGAGGTCCTGTGTCGCAGTAGGTGCTGGCACAAAAAAGATCCCCCTTGCTCAATGGCCCTGAGTGCAAAGCATAGTACAAAATTTGCAGCTCTCCACCGGTAAGAGGTGGCGTCTCCATATGAGTGAAAAATTCTCGAGAGGGATGTTAAACAAAATGCTATCAATCAACCAATCGTAAGTTTACATATCTCAGTTGATTAGATAAGCAAGAGCATGCTCTACGTATGAACAATTTCTACAACGAGGTAAATTATTGACTAACAAGTTGATAAAACAAGATTATTAGCAGTTTCGTTTAAAATCATCATTTCTTACGTTCTATTGTCGATACAATGACATTGTCAGCAAATACTATTTATCATTGAGTAAAATTCTGACTGACGTTACTCATACTAATGGTTAGTTCATTATTTATACACTGAATTGACGACGGATTTTTCCGTTACTTCCCGATCATAAAAAGGAACACTTGGCGTGTGTGACCGGTGAGCAGGGGATGCTCATTCCTCCATGGCACCTGATCCTACCTCTCATGTTTTGACGGTCCGTGTTTGCTCTGCGCCTATTTGGTATTGTTTAATGGACTTTGAGCTTGAATACTGTTCATCTGCATAAATTTTATTAAGAACCTCTAATGAAGATTTTATTCCAATTGTGGCAGTCAAATGAACATTTATATGCATCAACAATGTATTATTAATTTAAAATAGTAACTTCTATTAGCCTGTCAGATTGAAACATCAAAGTAGACGTTATACCCGCCCGTAACACTGAAATGTCGGTTCTATATTTTAACATTTTATGTTCTTTTCTTTCGCCAATATCCCTTACTTATCTACAAATATACCTACATCACCCGCAATTGGGGTAAAATCCAATTGTTTCTATATGATTTACAAAACGTGGCATAAGGTATTAACCAACATATTAATGAAAAAACTCCTTTGAAGTCCTCTTTTTATCATCAAGTTCTAAGATCAAACCAATGTCCTTAACGGCAAGTACGAGTACAATTTATTATACACACTGAAATTGTGTACGGATTTTCTGTTTAATAGATCATTACAAGCTTTAGGCATTATCACTCGACAGAGGATGTTTATTCCTATATGACACCTTATCCCGCCACTGACGTTTTTAGAGGTTCGTGTATACTTTGCTACCGATTTTTATTGTTAAAATGGACTTAAAACTTGAATACTGTTTTGGTAATTAATATCAAAAACAGATTTTTTCCAGAATCAGGGAATGATCTGTACGCCGCGGGCTAGAATCCAATGGCAGAAGGTGAGAACGGTCGTATAAAATATGTGTCTCTCAAGGTGCTCGCTCGGAATAGGTAATAGTCGAGTACATGACCTCCAACAGAATCCTAGGTTACATTGGCTATGTGAACCATGTAGTATGCACTAAATAACGAAAAAATCCTTAAATAAATCCGTGTCTAACAATTGGTATGAAAATGTCAATAAGCATTCTACTTCCTGATATAATTCATATTATTACACGGTCAAATGAACCAAACAACTTTAAAGAAAATTGTACCAGCAATTTGTACTTCAAAAGCTTACTTCGTTTTTAAAATTGTATTAATCTTGAACATCTGTTTGCTATTGGAATCTGATAATCTGAGAGATATCAACACTACATGCAAGCAATCTTTTATTTGTTGTAAGGTTAATCATTTTAGAGTTGTTAAAATAAATAAAACAATAACAAGAGGCTTAGGTTTTTTAAGTTTATTAATATAATGAAAACAAAATTGATCAAAGAAATTAAAATATAATAAATCAGGTATATTCTTTCCAACATTTTTTCAGAGAGTTTAGGTTTAACATTGTCTTAACCAAATTTGAATTGTCCATATCTCTTTTTCGAATGTATATAGGTCATGTAAAGTACACTCTTCGTTTCCCCTAATATAGGGCACATATGATTTATAACTCCTGGGACTATTGCTTATTTCTTTGCCTAAATATTCCTCGAGTAAATGCTTAACATTTGCAATAGATGTAAGAATATACTTTGATATAAACATAGAAAATTCTCTTATTACTTCTCCTCGACTTAATTTCATTAGTTCTTCTTGTAGCAAATAGTGCATAAAGTTCTCAGTCTTCGTAATTGCGTATGGTAAAATGTCCAGATTCATCTGAAAAAAAAAATGATTTGATATTATCTCCTTGTCGGTTTGAGCCACCCTAACATTTATTGAAAGTTATTTTATCTTTATAAAACATAATCAACACAAATACCTTTTTTGATTTCTTCACTTGCTCCCACCCTGATGAACAGGCTTTTGTTGATCCATGATAAAATCCTGGGATATTATCTCGCTCTCGCTATAGTGTAAAATTATATACCGTGATATTTTCAATATATAATAAAAAAAAAACTAGAATTTGCAAGCTAAAATCATGTCCCTAATTTGTACAGGGAGTAATTTAATATCAGTTGGCAAGGTATAGTTTTGAGGAAGCAAATTTAGTTTGGAATCATGTAAATACAACTTACCATCTTCATCAGTAATGAGGAAATAGACCGTTTTAACAAGGTAAAGTGATTGAAGAGAGCTTGACATTTAATTTCATGGTTCTGCAGGGGTACTGCTAATCCAGGACTAAGTAGAAAGCAGGAAACTGTTTTAAAATAAAACTTTTTAAAGTTTCATCAAAAAAAAAGTGCAAATTTCTTTGCGCGATACAAGGCAGATTAATTTCACAAGAAGAAATAAACTGTACTGCAAAGGCTTCCTATTGTTTTTAGGACATGCTGATATGCATCTGCATCTAAATATTTTTGAATTTATTTTTTATATAAAATGATGAAAAATATTGTTTTAAAATGCTGTAATAAATATTAGTTTTGATAATGTTACAGAACAATATGTACGAAACATTAAAAAAAATGTAATAAAATTTCACTCGATATCCAAATACTTACATAAAAGTACCGTTGGGTTCATTTTAAGGCCTTCTAGTGAAATGCCTTCTAATAAGGGACCTTTTATATAACATTATAAACACACCTTTTGTGGAATTTTCTTTAGCTGGACCGAAACTTCAAGAAACTGCATCTTTCTGAAAATTTGGGAAGATTTTCGATTTATTTTATCTTCATTTGCATTTAATTTTGGTTTTAATATAAATTTGATACCATTGTTACCCAGAGGTTATCCCGAGTTTGAATTTTTCACATTGTTTATATTGTTTAGAAGACAAAAGATAAAAGAAAGGGTGAAAATTCTAAGGATTCAAACATTTTTTGTATTCTACAATTAAGGAGAAAATGAAATTTCATAAGCCTATAAAACAGGTGATATTCAGTGACCGCGACCCATTCTTGATGTTTGCTATTCATTTGAATTATTCTTCCTAGATTAGATGGTGTTACCATAATTAACTACTGGCTTGTGACCAATACGATACAAAAAGTGTTTGAAAAAGTGCAAATATTTATTATGAAAATACGATGCCGAGTCTTAATATGGTTTCACTCAATATCAATGCACATTTTATCACGTTTGATATTAGGGCTGCTTTCGTTATGAAAGTTAAAATTATATAAAGTGCAGATACAAAGCGCTGACTTATCACTTTTAAAGAGATTTATTCTTCTACAAGTAACTGCTGTGGTTTGTGCAAACAAAATGAGCAATGTACATTAGCAAGTACTGAACTTTCTTGACACACACCGTCCAGTTATGGAACTACTTTAAACAAAGTCTGATATTTATATTATCTTTATTTTGTCTTCAAAAGCATTTTGTTTTCTTTGAAAAGAAAAATCCTTTATTATCCAATGAGCAAGTTAACATAGATAAAAAAAGCCAGGAATTTTGTATCGGCCCATGACGTTACACTAAGTAGTATGGTGTTCAATGGTTTTGAGACCAATTTCCCCCTCTTTTTCCGTGTTAAGGAATGCTCAATAAGCTTTCGATACAGGTAACAAGAATAGAAAAGTGAAAAGTAATTATTAAAGTAATAGTGAAAATTAATTATTAAGATATGTGAATTAAATATACATTTCTGTAAAAAACAAAGAGGCACGTATTTATTCATGAAAATTTAATGATTTATTTTAGAGAATTTTTTCTTATCTTTAAAAAATTACACTTTTGTTATTTCTAGGTAGCATATTCATTGAAAATAAAGCATTGTTTACAAATTAAGACAGTCAATGCATAACAACTATCGTAACTAGGAAGCCACTAGGATAGAAAAATGACATGGAGGATATGCGCTCAAATTTCGGCGATTTTTGAAATTAAAGAGTTTTGTCCATATTTTTAATTCCTGTTCTGTCAAACTAACAACCACTTGCTGAGAGAAAAAAATGGAACAGGAAAATGTGGTTTATTTTTCTTAAAGATTGGTAATACAAGGGGTATTTCATTGAATGTTTAAACATAGATCCTTTTTATCTGAAAAAAAATATGTATTATGTTCAGACGCTTGTTTTAATTGTTTTCGTAATTCATCTGATGTTTACGTTCAATTTGCACAAAGTATACTTATAATGATCACACTTATTTTCAAATCAAAAAAAAAAGGTGACAGGTGTAAATTCACATAAATTCAAATGTAAACAAGGGTAAAAAAAAATTATTAACTCCAAAAACTCAATAGAAAGGACCCGGGTATGGAAAATCTTTATATTTAAACTGCAATCTGTCTGCATGCGGGGATATACATTTATATAGAAGTCGATGAATGAAGATAAATGCAGTCTTAAAAACTAACATTTTTAAGATGTGTTTAACGTAAAATACAATATAAAACACATATAAAGAATATCCAACTAATGCCCCCCCCCCTTAAGAAATCAGATTTTTGAAAATTTAAATAAACATTTATAATATATGACTCTATTTCATGATGACGTGTTTCTGCCAGCAGTACGAAACAATGCCAACTGGAATTAAGAATATGAAAGAGAATATTGTTACGTGTATCTTGTACACGTAGATAAGATCATGTTGAATATGCGTCAGCATAGCAGTTTGTAAAGTAGATCAATATGTCTTTAAAGAAGACGAATCGTAAAATGCATTGTAGGGTATAAATGTGATGAATTTAAATCGCCAATGAAGAAGAAACAAGATAAGCGTGATAATAATGGGTCACATACATTAAGATTTAAATATCCAGATGAGTGTAGTAAGAAGAAAATTTAAAGTATTTCATTCATGACTCATATCTTTTTCTTGGAAAACAAGGACCTAGAATTCATAGAGTATGCAGTTGCGGGAATGAACCAAAAAGCACCTAGAAATTCTGGAAAGAGTAATGAGAGCTTCTAATGCAAATGTATAAGCATCCGACTCATCTTCATTTTATGGGACATAATTTTGCAACGTTTTAAATTCCGACCTTGGAATGTCTATTTATCACACACTACACCCACGACTGATTGTAATTTATCCCACGGAAAGATACAACCAGCAACTGCTTCATCTCGTAGGAAAGTAAGATGAATAAAAAAATAGGTTCTCTTCCCACTTGCATGGAAAATGAGTTTCAAGAAATATTAATCGGATACCGATTATTTTCCCTGCATTTGCAGGATTGAAATTTTCCCTTATTGTTGAGAAATCTATTTTGCATGATTCTTGAAAAAAGTTTCCAAAATACTCATTTGAATTCCTTAAAGAATGCAGTAGGCTTAAGATATTTTCAAATAATCTATTTTGCATGATTCTGGAAAAAAGTTTCCAAAATACTCATTTGAATTCCTTAAAGAATGCAGTAGGCTTAAGATATTTTCCAATACAGGCGGGAGCGGAATTTTAAAGGTTAGAAAAGATGGGGACACAATGCAATTGCACAAGAGAAAATTTATGGATTCTTAGCTAAAAGAAATAATTTACAGAAAGACTGCTTACATGACTAAAACGTGCTATGCACAAATGTTAGTAAACTTGCACTAATATATGTCTTCTCAGAAACGATATTTTTATTTACGGAAAAAAATGATTCAGTGTCAGGCATATCTTTGAAGCAATATTCCATCATCATTCGCAAACCATGGCACCTGATTTCACTCCTGATGTTTTAGTTCTATTTTCTGTTGTCAACAATTTGTTTGCAATCTATGGAAGGGATTTAATCAAAAAATAAAAATGTATATATATATTGTTCTCTGGTTCATTTCTTGGACCAATTGAACTTGAAAATTTGCGTTCCTTTTCTTTGGTACTCTTTAGACTTAATATGTTAAAATCCTTACAGAATGCACACACAGAAACATTTTAAAATACTTTAAACACCTTTTAAATCTGCTCCACGATGTATTTCTTTGATTGACGTTATACTTTAATTGTTTATATATCGTTTGCCTATGGCGTGTAAAACGTTGCTTTATTCGATAATCTTGTGATAAACGTTCACATTCTTGTGATGTGTGTTCAGAATCATGTGTTGTGTGTTCAAAATCTTGTTTGTTCTATAATCTTGTTATGTATGTGGAATATATCGTTATGTATATTCAAAACCTTTTTATGTATGTTTGATAATATTGTGATGTTTTGTTCTATAATCTTGTGATGAATCTGCAATATCTTGTTATATATATGCAAAATCTTGTTATTATACCCCCCGCTTGAAAAGCGGGAGGGTATATAGTAATCGTTAATTCCGTCCGTCTGTACGTCTGTCCGTCCGTCCGCCTGTCCGTCCGTCCGTCCGTCTGTTACGCTTTGGGGTACCCATCTCTTATCCGCAACTCCTCTCATACCACTGAATGAAATTTAATGAAACTTTTACAGAATCTTTATTACATATTGCCATTGTGCACCTCCTATTTTACTTTTTGATCTGACATAAATTTTGGATTTTCCAGAGCAAAACATGGACACTGCCATTTTATTCATATGAGAGGCGGGGGGTATCATTTAGTGAGCTCATTGCTCACAGTACCTCAAGTATATGTTCTATAATCTTGTTCAGCAATACAAATTAGGAGCAGAGCAAATACGAACCTACGACACAACGGAGGTTGGATAAGTTGCCAAGGAGGAGTGAGTGTCCCCTACAGACCGGTCACAATTCCAGTGTGCTCCTTATCTTGCCCGGAAATAAAACGGAAAAATCTATGTACAACTCAGTGTGTAAATACAATGCAATGATCTAACAAACAGTGTCAAATAAATTAATTAATTTCATTTTTTAGAAACATTCGAAAATTTAAATGAAATATTACTATCGAGCAGACTTATTTTTGTATTCATAGGAGGCAATTTTTTTCTTCAAAAAATTGTACTTGAAAAGAGGGAAAATTTGCCTTGGCTTTCAACTCGGCATTTAAATAAATAAATAAAAGTGTTGTGAATTAACAATGATTATATCCATTCTAATGTCAATACAATATATCCTGTTGAGCTAGAACTTACGATACTGCAGTGTCAGACACATCTGTTCCATATTTAGATAATTAACTTAAGAAAGACATTGGTAGTTACCTAACTTTTGAGCTTTATGATAAACTTGATTAGTTTAACTTTACAATCGAGAGTTTCCCCTACTTATGTATCTCTATACCTTCGCAATGCATACAGGGTTTGTTTTGTTCAGTTGCTTCGATGCACAAGAGCATGTTTTACATAAAAACAATTTTGTTGCCGAATCAAGGATTT